CCTCCTCCCGCCTCTGCTCCTCTCCCTCCCTCCCCCCTGTCACCTGCTGAAAGCTTGTGCAAAAAACCAACCAAACCTGGTGCTCCTTAAATATTCTTACGATACTGCTTGTTTTCTGTGTGGTCTGCTGAGCTCCTCGATCGCCCTTTCTAAGAGATTGAACATGATCCAGGAACAGTTAGGCAGCCTTATATCTTTTTAATGTTTGTATCAGTGATCTGGATGCAGGAGTTAAATGCACTGCAGGTGCGCTGTTGATACCAAATTGGAAGACCCTGTTGACTCTTTCGAGGGACAAGAGCTTTGCAGAGGCATCTGCGTAGATTGGAGCACTGGGCAATTGTCAGTGGCACTAAAGTCAACAAGAACAAATACCAGATTCTGCCCCTGGGATGGAGTACCGCTGGACACGAGTATAAACTGGGAGAGGAGTATCTGGAGAGCAGCCACTACACCCTACAGAGGGATCTGGGGGTGCTGGTGGGCAGCAGCTCAGTGTGAGTCAGCAGTGTGCCTGGGCAGCCAGGAGGGCAAACCCCATCCTGGGGTGCATCGGGCACAGCATCAGCAGCTGCCAAAAGCGGATCATCCCGCTGTACTCAGCCGTGGTGTGGCCTCACCCTGAGTCCTGTGTGCAGCGCTGGGCCCCACAGTTTGAGAAGGACGTGAAGGTCCTTGAATGGTCCACAGGAGGGCACAGGGTTGTGTAGTTTGGAGAGAAGGGGCTGAGGGGCGACCTCATTGCTCTGTACAGCTTCCTGAGGAGAGATGTGGAGAGGGAGGTGCTGGTCTTTTCCTGGGAATCGGTGACAGGACACCTGGGAATGTTTCAAACATCAGGGGAGGTTCAGACTTGACAGTAGGCATAATTTCTTTACCAAGGGCAAAGAAGTTGGTGAAAGGTCCAGAGAGTAAATCATGCAAGAAGCGGCTGAGGGAGCAGGGCTGGAGAAAAGGAGGCCAAGGGGAGACCTTATTGCTCTCCACAACTACCTGAAAGGAGGTTGTAGCAAGGTGGGGATCAGTCTCTTTGAGGACACAGCCTCAAGCTGTACCAAGGGAGGTTCAGGTTGGACATCAGGAAGAATTTTTTCACTGTAAGGGTATTTAAACATTGGAACAGCCTGCCCAGGGAGGTGATGGCATCACCATCCCTAGGAGTGTTCAAGAAATGACTTAGTACCGTGATCTAGTTGACATGATGGTGTTTGGTCAAGGGTAAGACATAACGATCTTGGAGATCTTTTCCAACCTGAGTGATTCTGTGACTGCAAGAGGGTTCTCAAATATAGGAACAGGCTTCCTGGAGAGGTGGCTGATGCCCCAAACCTATCAGTGTTTAAGATGCATCTGGACAACATCCTTAATAATGTGTTTTAACTTTTGAACAGCCCTGAATTGATCAGGTCATTGGACTAGATGATTGTTCTAAATCCCTTCCAACTGAAATACTTCTGTTCTGTTTGTGCTTAGCTACTTCCTGAACTAACAAAAAGCTAGAGCTTATTAGCCACTTATGTCTCTAATATGATAGTTACCAAGACTTGGTAGTGTTGCAGCCAAACCCTGGATGGAATCTCTGGATAACAATGTTTCGAGCTAGCTTTCTGTTGTAGGGTAAAAGCTTTCATCCAGTTGCAGACTGAAAGTCACCCCTCTATACAAGTTCTAATAAACCCCAGCTTGGTTCTGTAGTGTCTCTTACTTCTGTTCATAACAGTGCTGGTGAAGTGGGATTCAGGTCAATTTCTAAAGTAAACTGAGTGTTAACAGCAACACCCACAGAACTGAAGCAGTAAAAAGTACAGAATATATATTAAACAACTTTCTTTTGGTTTGGGTTTTTTATCCACTTTCCATCCACAAGAAATCAGTTTCAGTTGTATGTTTCTAATTAAATCAACAGAAAAGAAGTCGCTAAGCACGGTTGCTTATATAAATCTCCGTCCTTCCCTGATATTTTGCACACACTTCCAGCTAATTGCACATAATTTTTAAGCTGATTGAAGTATTAAATATTGGAAATGCATGTGAGTTTTAGTGTCTGTAGAATGTTTTGAATTTAAAATTTCTATATAACATGAGCATGAGACTTGTCATAATTTCAGCTTTTGTCAGAAGAGTAAATATGTCTTTTTGGATTCTGTTTTAGGGAATTCACTATTACTATAAAAGAAAATGTCTACATCTAACATTGCAGCAAGAGTGGAAACCTGGCTTTCATCCACATGGCATATTAAAGTTCCTTTGACATGGCTG